GACAGTGGGTTTGAATAGCTGGAGGTTATTGGGCGTTGCAAAGTGTCGGGATTGCTCTCGGGGGGAACCTGCTAAAACTGCAGATTCTGTTTCAGCAGTTCTGGGCTGGGATTCAAGGAGCTGCATGTTACCATCAGTGGCCTTGAAGAACGTCCTGTAGAAAGAAGCATCACCCTGAGAAAAGTGAATCAACCAGTAAGGAGACTCTGGGAAGTATCCGCATGCGATGTAGGAAGGATCTTTTTTTTTTTTTTTAATATTTTATTTTAAATAAAATTTTATTTTATATAAAATAACTATTTTATTTAAAATTTTATTTTATTTAAATATTTTATTTATTTATTCATGAGAGACATAGACAGAGAGGCAGAGACACAGGGAGAGGAAGAAGCAGGCTCCATGCAGGGAGCCCGACGTGGGACTCAATCCCGGATCCCAAGATCACGCCCTGAGCCAAAGGCAAGATGCTCAACCACTGAGCCACCCAGGCGTCCCTGTAGGAAGGATCTTAACTAGGACTAGCTGTGGAACTAGAAAGGACTAATCTTTGAGATTACTGAAAAGGCATAACTAGTAGAAATTGATGACTAATCTAGCAAATAAGTGTTGCTGAGGATCCAGAGCTCTGAGTGGCTGCAGAGCGACAATCCCACACAGTTTGAAAAGCTGAGCAGAACCCACTTAGTAAAAACACTTGGGATCGGGCTGCGACTTCTAAACTGGAGAGACTTTCAGACGGAGATAGGGAACAGTGCTGGGGCAGGAAGGGAGTAGAGATGGATTTGGGAGCCCAGGGCGTGAAGATGATAGCTGAAGCCTTGGAGAAAGGCGTTATGTCACCGATGGAAACCGTGCTTCCAAGAAAATGGCTTCAGGTCCCTTAGGATCCACTTACCCGATTTTGAATGAGCCAGGAATGAGGAGTCAACACAGGAAACTGAAAAGGACATTTAAGAAAGAGGAGCATGGAGCATAAATAAAAGAGTGCATGCACGTCACAGTTTTCAGAGAACTAGCCTGGAGGTCTCACAGGTAGGCATCGTAATTTTGTGCAAACCAGGGAAAAGCGATTATGTGATTCAGCCAAGGTCAAGCGAATAATTCGTATGGCCTGCCCAGATGTCAAGTGCCTCTCCTGAAGGTTCGATGTTCTTTTCTCTGAGCAATGTTGAACGCATGTTAGTGGACTAATTCCAGAGTATAGCACTGTTGCCCTTCGAAATCATAAAGCATATCAATTTTTTTTTAAATCACCAGGGGTGCCTGAGTGGCTCAGTCCGTTGAGCAACTGACTCTTGGTTTCAGCTCAGGTCATGACCTCACGGGTGTTGGGGGCAAGCTGCAGAGGGCTCCACACTCGCTGGGAGTCTGCTTGGAGCATTCCCCCCCTCTGTCCCTCCGCCCTTCAAATAAATAAATAAATCTCTAAAAAAATAAAAATAACCAAACTTGTGATAATTTTGCAATATATGCTAATGTCGAATCTTTGTGCTGTACACATGAAACTAATATAACACCGTATGTCAATTATTCCTCAATAATAAAAAAGAAATCAAATGGTATCATATAGGGACCATGCAGCGGATGAAAATAAATGAAGCTGGGCAGCCCCGGGGGCTCAGCGGTTTAGCGACGCCTTCAGCCGGGGTGTGATAAGGAGACCTGGGATCGAGTCCCGCGTCGGGCTCCCTGCATGGAGCCTGCTTCTCCTTCTGCCTGTGTCTCTGCCTCTCTCTCTCTCTCTCTCTGTGTGTGTGTGTGTGTGTGTGTCTGTCATGAATAAATAAATAAAAAATCTTAAAAAAAAAAAGAAAATAAATGAAGCTAATTGTGTGCAAAGCAATAGAGAGTGGTAGGGTCTGGAAAAAAAATAAACAGGATTCTTTTTTGTCATTTTCATGAGTACAATAATAATCGCCGTTTATGTCATTGGCTACTTCTGTATTTTAGGTGGGGTTAGGCCTTGCTTTGAACCTTTTCAGTGAGAAAAGGAGAGTCTAAATAGAATGATACTTTGCTTAATTTGTTGAGATCTCTAGTTGACAAGGGCCATTTTAAGTAAACACATGCCTGACTATCCCTCTGCCGTTAATATTTAGGAACCCAGGAAATTCATCCCCAGGAGAAGTAATTTTACTGGTTTTATACCTGTGGATTATTCTGTGTGTTACTTTGAGGAACACTTGCATGAGAATATGAGCTGGGAAAAGGTCAGTAAGGCAGGAAAACATTTCATTTTCAAGATAACATTTCTCTCTCTTTTTAAATATCAAAAATAAATAAATAAATAAATAAATAAATAGAACTTTTTTTGCTACGTTATTAAACGACTTTAAAGAAATTGTTCTGCCTACCGTTATGATAACATTTACACAACTTTTTTTCTTTCACGTAATGCAATGTGAGCTGAGTCAGAAAAGGAAAAAGGTTGTCGGTACTTTGAGTCAGTGGGCAACTCAGACATGGTCGCGTCCTTCCCATGACTTTTCGCTCCCCTAGTATCAGCTCTGTTGCAAGAACAGCAGCATGCAGATGCGTTGGCATTAAGTGTTTACGTCGGCCTCTTCAAGCTGATTTATTTTGTCTGTAAGACATCAGGGTGTCCATTGGCCTACATTTACTCCGTAGTAGTGCTGGTCAAGAAAATTCCTAGGCCTTATGGTTATAGCAGTGGAATACGTAGCGATTTTCTAGCAAAGTGCAATTCTGTGCAAGGGGTCTTGACGGTGTAGAGAGTTCCCAAAGAGTCAGGACAATTTTTCAGTATGGACACAAAATGTTGCTGCAATATTTTGTGTGTTCATTCAGCTACCCCCCAGGAAAATTCTGGGTTGTGAAACGGTGAGAATCCGGTGTATTATCTTCCATGTCTTTGGCGATAAATCAACCCAAATGAGATTTGAATAAATGAAGTGGAATCTTTGTGCATGCATGTGATGGGAAGAAAATGATGGCAATTACAAGAACTGTGGATATCGTTGGGTGTGAATAGATATTCAGCTACATAGTAATTAGGTGACTGTTAGGGAGACTGGAGCTGTAGTAGCAAGAATTCAAAGAAGGCAAGCTGTTTTGCTCTAAAAATAAATCAAAAGAATTTATGGGAACTATCAATAAAGAAATAGTTGAGTTAAGCTGAATGGAAGCAAATTTGCATTCTTAAAATATTTAAATTCACGTTGATCGATCTAAGCACGCTATAAGAAGATTATGTAAATAACATGTTTCCCCATTTTGCTGTGACTCTACTGCCTTGTCTGAGTACTGTCTGGCTGAGTTTATCATCAGTGTTTTTTTTTTTTTTTTTTTGTAACTTTCATTCTCGTTTTAACGCTTCATCGTGAACATCAATTAACACTTCTCTTTGTGCCTTTCCAGCGTAAGCTGCCTCTTTATTTTGTTTTCCTAATTTATTAGCGAAGTGTTTTCCAACCCTTTATTCTTGTATATTCTTTTTTTTTTTTTAATATCTCTTGTCTACTTAACCTTCAAAGTGCCTTCAGTATGACCAGTAGATGGAAAGAGTAGTCGGAAACATCCCGCAGCGTTTACCAGGGGAGATAGGTGCGTCGGCGGTCATAGACGTGATGAGTTACAAGAGCGGGTCGATGCCCCACGCACCCGGGGGCCGGAGGCTGAGGACCAAGGGGAAGAAGAGCAGAAGCAAGCAGCTGACGGGGTCGGTGGGTGGCGTGGAGTAACGGGGAAAGCCGCGGAGCGCGTTAGCAAACTCGGCCTTGTTCCATTTGCGTTACCGGTGCCAGCCTGTTCTGCAGGGCACGGCTCGGGCGTCCTCGTTCCCTCATCTGGTCCATGAAGGCGTCTGACTGTAGGGTCTCTTCCAGCTCTTGAGCTTCGTGATCGATGGCAGAGACTTAACTACGTAGATACGACGCCGTCTCCTTAGGCAGTCGTTTTGCGTGAGGTCTGGTTGGTTTGCTTTCGTTGTTGACACTCACAACGGGGGTTCCTAAGGGATGATGTAGTGGCCGTCGGTCGGACTCGGCGCTGTTGAGTGCGTATGGCCAGTGCACCGATGCAGGGCTGCCTTGAGTCACGGCTGCGATGGCGTCAGCATCGCATCCGAGTGTCTCATGACATGGGGATGGTGTCAACTCTCCTTCAGAAGAACGCTAAGAGGTCAAGGCCTCCTTGCTAACAGCGAGTCCGTGCTTGAGGTGCGTGTCCGCTCTGGGTCGGCCGGCGTGTTGGACCACGCGCCCGCTGCGGGGGGATGATGAGCGCGTCCTCCGGCAGGGTGCAGGCGGAAGCCATGGGGCGCTTCGTCAGGAAACTCCAGGTACTGCTGTGAGGGCCTGTCCCGTGGGCAGCCGTCGCTTCTGTAGCACCCACTCGCTGTCCACCTCCAGCTTGTGAAATCCGCCACCGCGGGTTTCGCAGCAGCCGCATTAGCACTGAGCGTTACTGAGGCCGCTTGGTGGAGGAGACAGTGGAGAAGGGGATACTAAGGAACAAAAGCCAAATGCCCTCATGGGAAGGCTGCCGATGGCCTCTCCCCTGTGCAGTCTCCTCGAGGTGCTAAGACAAACGTCTTTAAAGGCATAATCTTCCTTTCTGTAGCCTTTCGCTCTGTTGCAGATACAGATTGCGCGTGGTCTCGCCACAGTTTCCTTTGAGGTGCATCTGGAATTACTTGAAAAGCACAGCAGGTAGACGGTGTTCGAATGGTTCTCTCTGGTGAGCTCCATCTTCAGAGACAGGACGTGGAGCTAAGGGCGAGGGGGCCGAGGAGCCAGCTGGCGTCACAGCGCCCACAGAGCCTCGGCATTGGCTTCTAGCACGGGAGGACTCAGGGCCGGGGCAGCATGCCAGAGCTCGACTATTTTCATTGATCGGTATGAATCATTTTCTCTCTGTTGCCTGTACTTTTGCCACCGGGCACACCACGGAGGTGCCAGCAGGTGTGCGGCTGACCTTTCCCTGGCTCCCCGCTGAGGTGCCTGCCGCGGAGTTTCTAATCGTTGCCGATCTCTCTGCAGACAGAGCTTTTCGTGCACGCCTTCAAGGATCAGCTGGTCAGGAGCGCTCTTTTAGCCCTCTACACTGCCAGGCCAGGAGGTGTCCCGAAGAAGCCACCATCTCCTAAGAGCAGCGCAGACGACAGCTGCCCCCAGGACGCACCCCCGCCGGTGGGAAGGCAGGACTCCATACCCCATCACTCAGACTACGATGAAGAGGAGTGGGTAAGTCTCCTGCACATCGCTCGCCTCCCTGTGTGTGGTGCTGCAAAGTAGAGCCAGAGAGATGAGAAATGTCTGCTCTTCATCAAAACAAGGTGGGAAGTTTTCGTCCACAAATAAGATTGTGGATCAAACAAACAAACAAACGAAAAAACAAAACAAAAGAAAGATTGTGGATCAGTGGGTCACAGTGTTCCTTGGGGGCAAATTCTAGACGCAAGCTTTACTCCTGATCCCATTTATTCAGCACGAAGATGTGTGTGTGTGTCTGTGGTCACACACGACGATGCTGCAGTTATAGGACTTTAGAATACTTTTCTGCATTTACTGCAAAGGTAATATAAACCATTAAAATTGTATTTTTTTCCCACTCATTTCTGAGAAAATGAGTGGGAAGTATCAGAGAGAGAGAGACAGAACGTGAGAGACTCCTAACTCTGGGAAACGAACTAGGGGTGGTGGAAGGGGGGGGTGGGGGTGACTGGGTGACGGGCACTGAGGAGGGCACTTGATGGGATGAGCACTGGGGGTTATGCTATATGTTGGAAAATTGAACTCCAATAAAAAAATAATTTAAAAAATTAAAAAAAAAAGAAATACCAAAAAAAAAAAAGACTGAAATAGACTTTATCATACCTGGATTGGGGGATGATTTGTTACTGAGTTTTTAGTAGAGATACTGGAATTTTTCTCCTTATGGTATTTGTAAAGTTGGCATTCTGCTTTTAATTAGTCTTCACAATATGTAAAGAATTTGCAAATAGGATTTCTTCTTGAAAGACTCATGGCATTGGGAAAAAAATTTTAAATACAAAAAAAATTATATTTCTTCTAGAAAAAGAGTCAACAGTCACTCATAACCCACTACTCATTGCAAATATTTTCTTGATGCGATCCACTGTTTCAGTTCTGGATGTACTTCGAAAGGTATTAGCATTTAAATGGCGGTGGATGGAAAAATCTCCTAAATCCTTCCTGTTCATGATTCTGTGATTTAAAAGAAAATGTTGCTGCAGGTGCTCTAAAATCGGCAAAAGGGTGGCCATAAAAGCATCTGAAAAAAAAAAGCTAGTAAAGGTGAAAAGGAAAAAAAAAAAAAGGAAGCCAACATTACAATAAGAACTCTAGTTGGACAGAATAAGAGAAACACGAAGGTTCTGGGGACAGGGGAGCGGTGTTATTCCTGAATAAGCACCTATTAATTATCCAGGAACCACTCAAAGTCCGTGCGCATCACACACCCAGAGGAGGAAGCCCTTTACCGCATCGTAAGTTTAACCAAGAAAATAGCATCCTGGTCATATAGGTGGTAAAACAGCCGGTGACTACTTCGCCTGCCCCCTAGAATCGAAGAGCATTCGGGGAGTAAATTATTTGAAAGGCCCGACTCTCTCAACAAAATTACTGTCTGAAGGGCTGTGAAGTGATGCCTCGTCTTTTCTTTTGATAAAATTTCCATCACAGCGAAGACAGAGGCGGGTTCCAAGGGGTCAATGCTGAGTAAGTATTTGTTGCTGCTGATTAAGATCGCGTTTCTCCCACAGAAGCGTCTTCAAAAGCGCAGGTTTAATTTTTCCCCTTTTTACCTTCACCTTCTTCAATTTATTCACAGCTCCAAGGCGTACATACCTCTTAACCTCTCTGAAGCTCAATTTTCTCAACCGTAAAGTGAAAATAGCAGCCTCCGTTCCGTGTAGCTCTTGGGATGGTCATGAGATAAATGACTTCCTGTGTGACATCGCCCCATGGCCCCATTGCCTGGAAGGGCCCAGAGGACACGCGGCATCACGTTAGTGGTGCTGCTGCATGTTGGCTTCTTTAGGGCGCGTAGATCAGATAGTCTGATTATGGAGATTAATATGATTCTTTGAAGTAAATGGGGAAAGCGGATCTAGCATACGGTGTGTGTTGTGAATCCTAAAGACTTTGAGTAGATAGAGAAAAGAACTCGTATTTCACTTAATTAAACATATAATGTTGACCTTTTGACAAATAATTTCCATTTTTATGTTAAGTCAGGACTTTAGATCGGGTCTCTTGTGATCATTTTCACCTCGCTGTGTCGTGTGAGGCCTCCCCCCACCTGCCTCCCTGCTGCTCACAGGTGTCCCTCCACTGCCCTCCCTCCTGGTTTCCTTTTCATTCCATAATTTTTGAGACCTATATTGGAGGTGCTCCAGGTGGGAAGGTCAGTGACCCTAGATCCTTGGGTTCTGGAATGTGGGGTCCCCGTCTCCTGGTGGATGCAACCAGATAGTCACAAAAGGCTGTGACATTGGTAGGAGAGAGCCGGGGGCAGGCAGTGGGCTGTGCAGTGTGAGCCCCGCCGAGGCTGTGCGTACAGATGTGCCGGGGGGAGAGGGGGCAGGGGTGGGGACTGCGCTGTGGCGGGAGGAGAACCAGGGACCTCGAGGCAGTGAGGACCAGGAGCAGTTTCCGGTTGCACAGGGGGAAGCTGGAAGGAGGGGATCCAGAAGCAAGATTCGGATGATTTAAAAGCGAATAGAGACTTAACCACTCAAGGAACAGGATGGGGGCCTCGCTAGCTGACGGGGCCTTGCTAGCTGACGGGTTGGGAGAGTGGGCGTGTGTGTGTGTGTGTGTGTGTGTGTGTGTGTGTGTGAGATCATCCTTAGTTGTTTCTTTGTTCTGCCTTAGAGCTGGTGAAAAGTGAGCATGTCTGTTCTCCAGAGGCCGCTGGATGCGACGCGGCTGTGGGTGGCAGGGCCAGGCCTCCCCGGGGCACCTGCTGGAGGCCGGGCCTGGGCACAGGCCGCAGGCACCCTGGTGAGGTTGGCCTCACTCAAAGAGGCAGGGCGAGGCTGGATGGCCTCTCTCTTGTTTGTCTAAGATATTTTCCCAGTTGAATTTTTTTTAAGAAAAGACTTCATATATTTATTTGATAGAATGAGCACAGGTGCACAGGGAGGGGCAGCAGCGGGTGGGGGGGAACTGGGAACTGGATGCACGTGGGGCTCAGCCCCAGCATCCCAGGATCACGACTGAGCTGAAGGTGGGCACTCGACCCGCTGAGCCCCTGGCGCCCTCACAGTTGTGGGGAGACCCAGTTGACCTGTGAGGCTGCGCCAGGCTGAGGTGTGCCCACGTCATAAGGGCTTGAGAAATCACCACCATGGCCGATTGGATCACCGTGCATCACGCAGTTGGATCCCTTTGTTAGGAGAGTGGTGACCACCCCCTGCCTTAGCAACCCTCAGTATGGGGTGCTTAGTCACCACCTGTACGACCCCCCCCCACTTACTACCCCATAACTGCAAGGCCGCACCTTCTGACCCCTCTACCCCTTTCCCCACCCCCCGCCCTTACCTCCAGCAGCATCAGTGTGTTGGGCTGCAATGAACTTGGCTTCTGCTTGTTCGTGTTTAGATGCCACACGTAAGTGAGATCAGACAGGACTGGTGCTTCTCCACCTGAATCAGGTCACTGAGCTGAGCGCCCTGGGGCCCGTCCTCCTGGTGGCAGGTGGCGGGACTTCCTCCCTCCTGTCGTGGCTCAGGGACATTCCGCAGCCGTGTCCGATCGCCTGTCAGTGGACACCCGGGTCGCATCCGTGTCTGGGTCACTGTGAACAGAGCCACAGTGATGTGGAGTTGCTGAGACCCCCTTGAGATTGTGATTTCATCCCCTTCGGGCTTATGTGTTCACAGAAGTGGGATCGCTGGGGCACGCGGCTCTTCAGTTTTCAGTATTTCAGGAACCTCCGCACTGGTTTTCAGCGTCTGCACCAGTTGATATCCCCTCCGCAGGGCACAGGGTTCCCTCTTTCCGCATCTACGCCAGCATTTGTCATCTCTGGTCTTTTTGATGATAACCACTCTAACAGGTATGAGGGGATAGCTCATTGTACTTTGAATTTGCATTTCCTGGTGATGAGCACCTTGCGGGGGGCGTGTCGGCTACATTGATGACGTCTTTGGTAAGATGGCCATTCAGTTCCTCTGGTCTGTCCACTTTTTAGATTTTTTTTTCCCCATTGAACTTGATGAGTTCTTTATATAGTTTGGATTTTAACTTTGGGTGCCTTATTTTATCTTTAAAGCAGAATCATCTACAAAAATAAGGGGAAGAAGAGGAGGACAGGCTGAGGAGAGGGGTAGAAGTTTCAAATAGGCACCAAAGAAAGTGAAGAGAGGCGCTTACTGGCAACATTTGGAAAATTTAGGAAGAATTCCAGTCCCTGGGAAGGACCAGTGAAGACCGGGGTAGGAGTCCACATGGTCATTGGTTTCCCACTATTTTGAGAATACTTTCTTAGTCTTAACACTAGGAAAGCCTTTTATTTCTTTTTCTTGCCTGATTGCTGAGGCGAGGACTTCTAGGACTATGTTGAATAGCAGTGGTGAGAGTGGACATCCCTGTCTTGTTCCTGATCTTAGGGGAAAGGCTCCCAGTGCTTCCCCATTGAGAATGATTTTGGCTGTGGACCTTTCGTAGATGGCTTTGAAGATGCTGAGGAACGTTCCCTCTATCCCTACACTCTGAAGAGTTTTGATCAGGAATGGATGCTGTGTTTTGCCAAATGCTTTCTCTGCATCTATTGAGAGGATCCTATGGTTCTTGTTTTTTTTTTTCCTTGCTGATCTGATCCATCACGTTGATTGCTTTACGAGTGTTGAACCAGCCTTGCATCCCGGGGATAAATCCCCCTTGGTCATCGTGAATAGTCTTCTTAATGTACTGTTGGATCCTATTGGCTAGTATCTTGGTGAGAATTTTTGCATCTGTGTTCATCAGGGATATTGGTCTATAATCCTCCTTTTTGGTGGGGTCTTTGGTTTTGGAATTAAGGTGATACTGGCCTCATAGAACGAGTTTGGCAGGAAAAAGACTTACTGATTTTTTTCTTCCAGTTGATGCAGAAGGGTCTTCTCCGTTTCTCAGCTGTTTTGGTTTCTTTCACAGGCAAAAGGGTAGGATAATAATAAAGATCTGCATCTCCCTCTTTTTCTTCTTTCATATAATTTCTGAATTTCTTCCAGAAC